AGCAACGACGGCGGAAAAGGCTTCAAGAGAAGTAAACATGAGACAATTGTATGACACGACAAAGAAACTCTCTGGAAATCGCCGCAAAGCAGAACGACCAGTGAAAAGCAAGGAAGGCAAGGTAATCACCCACATTGAAAAGCAACAAAACAGGTGGATAGAACACTTCAAAGAACTCTTGAATCGACCAGCTCCACTGAACCCACCCAACATCGAAGCAGCACCCACGGACCTCCCAATCAATGTTGGCCCACCAACAATTGAAGAAATCAGCATGGCCATCAGACAAATCAAGAGTGGCAAAGCAGCAGGACCGGACAACATCCCAGCAGAGGCACTAAAAGCAGACGTAGCGGCAACTGCAAGGATACTCCACATTCTCTTCAATAAGATTTGGGATGAGGAACAAGTACCAACAGACTGGAAAGAAGGACTTCTAATCAAAATACCGAAGAAAGGCGATCTCAGCAAGTGTGATAACTACAGAGGCATCACTCTTCTCTCAATACCGGGAAAAGTCTTCAACAGGGTATTGTTAAACAGGATGAAGGACTGTGTAGACGCCCAACTTCGAGACCAACAGGCAGGATTCCGTAAGGATAGATCGTGTACAGACCAAATCGCAACTCTACGGATAATTGTGGAACAATCAATTGAATGGAATTCATCACTCTACATCAACTTCATTGACTACGAAAAGGCATTTGACAGCGTGGACAGAACAACACTATGGAAACTTCTTCGACACTACGGCGTGCCCCAGAAGATAGTCAATATCATACAGAACTCATATGATGGATTACACTGCAAAATCGTGCATGGGGGACAGTTGACAAAGTCGTTCAAAGTGAAGACCGATGTTAGGCAAGGTTGCTTACTCTCACCGTTTCTCTTTCTCCTGGTGATCGACTGGATCATGAAGACGTCAACGTCTGAAGGGAAGCACGGGATACAATGGACATCTAAGATGCAGTTGGATGATCTAGACTTCGCAGACGATCTGGCCCTTTTATCCCACACGCAACAACAGATGCAGGAGAAGACAAACAGCGTGGCAGCAGCCTCAGCAGCAGTAGGTCTCAACATACACAAAGGGAAAAGCAGGATTCTCCGATACAACACAGCATGCACCAATCCAATCACAATTGATGGAGAAGATTTGGAAGATGTAAAAACCTTTACGTATTTGGGCAGCATCATTGATGAACAGGGTGGATCTGATGCAGATGTGAAAGCACGGATCGGCAAAGCAAGAGCAGCATATTTACAACTGAGGAACATCTGGAGCTCAAAGCAGCTGTCAACCAACACCAAGGTCAGGATTTTCAATACAAATGTCAAGACAGTTCTACTGTATGGGGCAGAAACTTGGAGAACTACAAAAGCCATCATCCAGAAAATACAGGTGTTTATTAACAGTTGTCTACGCAAAATACTTCAAATCCATTGGCCGGACACTATTAGCAACAGCGCACTGTGGGAGAGAACAAACCAGATCCCAGTGGAGGAAGAAATCAGGAAGAAGCGCTGGAAGTGGATAGGACACACATTGAGGAAAGCACCGAACTGCGTCACAAGACAAGCCCTCACATGGAATCCTGAAGGTCAAAGGAAAAGAGGAAGACCAAAGAACACATTACGCCGAGAACTGGAGATAGACATGAGAAAACTGAACAAGAATTGGATGGAACTAGAAAAGAAGGCCCAGGACAGAGTGGGTTGGAGAATGCTGGTCAGCGGCCTATGCTCCATTGGGAGTAACAGGCGTAAGTAAGTAAGTAAGTAAGTTTTCTAATATTATTTAGTATTTATTGTTAGGCTTGCTCATAATTGTGGAACCCGAATCTATTAAAGTACAGATTTTGTTGAAATTGTTTTAATTAATGAAATACTTCATTATTATTTTATAACTTGTGACTGCCGAATTATGTGCAGTGACTTATCGATCGGATCAATGACGCGTAAAACACGTGCGAGCAGTCTAGAGTTCTGATTGACCCGGCTTTCCGCCTAGCCCAGCCAGTTAAGTTCAGAACACTAGTCTTAGCCTCTGCAATATGAATTATTATATTTCAAACATACTCTGTTTATATACCAATCAAGCAGATCACAACGTACCAATTAAATATGAAACAACATTTGGCAAGAATTAGCCAGATGTGGCTATGAATAAGGGAGGTAGTAATTAATATACTGGGTATAACTCAAGAATGGTAAAACGTATAATAATAGTTTATGGGTGGAAATAAAGCTTATAATAAGATGAACATAAATATGAATAGTTTAGTTATTTAACAATTATACGATAAAAATATACGTTTGGTATTGGTCCATAAAAGGATTACAAAGTTACCATTCATTATGTTTCTCGGGTCCTAACAGATTATGAAGGAAAATGTTAATGACTGTTAATAAAATCTCATAACTTGTATATGTGAAAGAAAGTATATTGGTGATACTGATATATAGACAAATCGATTATTTAGAAGTAGCTGCTTGGAATATACAAATCGGGATATTTATTTATTTTATAAAAGTATGTAAATGTACAGAAACCACTTTTTATGTATGCAAATGGTCAAAGAATATTGTGAATGTACCTTTTTCTCCGAGTATGATGATGTAATCACGAAGTTTTCCGAATCATTTTGGAAAACATCATCAGTGTTTACTTCTATTAAATTTCAATTGCTTAATTTATTCAAATATTACAAATCAGTCTGTCCCGATGAAATCAGTTGTATAGTGTTGCTTTCAGTAGTTTTGTCAGGTTTATTTTTCATTGTATTCTTCCCGAATGTTTCATTCTTTTGACTAACAGACATGTGATTGATCACAGAAAAACACAGAATGACTTGAAAATAAATGACTACTGACATTTCATTAGTATGTAAAGTAGTTTCGCTACATATGTAAACGAACATAGAAAAAGCTTGACTACAAAGCAACTCGAATATTTGTAATGTACCAACACTATGAGAGAGTATGAGTACTATATAACAGATTTCATGATAACACGGTATTATACTATGGTCAGATGGACGGAAACTTAAATCAACGGAGTATATGGTGTCACTCATGTGTTAGATGTGTGTCTAATAAAAATACAAAGTATATTCTACTGAAGATTACATTTACTTGCTTTGATAATTTGTCATATTAAATTTGTCTTATTCCCTGAATGTCAAAAGTCACATTTTATCGCGATTCATTAATCAAGATTTATTTAAAATCTTAAAATTGATCTAGACATTATGACAAAATTTGATAAATTTTCATCCAACCAATGAACTAAAGTGTAATAATACATTAAGAAATTATCTTTTCATTAATATACATCAAAATTCCTATTTGCAAGGTATACGAATAGAAGATTATCTAGACGAATTAAAATTATTATCTCTGTCTTTTCTGAAATATCTTTCGTAGTGTCAATAAGAATATCGGTTTTTAACTTAAAATAACAATAATGAAAATTGAATTTTCTTCATGTGAATTAAAACAAAATGATAATACTGAGATTAGTACAATAATTTAGTAGTTTTGACAAACCTACATAATACAATGAAAAGATGAAGTTTATCAGAAACATAGTTTGTAGAAGAGAAATACAGTGCGAGGGATAGATAGAAAAAATATTAATATAGATAAATAAATAAATATCAAAATGAAAACAGGTAAATTGAAATATAAAGAAAACAACTTGTTATCGAACACATGAAAGAGGAGTTAACCTGTGTATGGCTTATGATTCGAAAAGCCTTAGGTCTCACTGTTCGGGGATTCTACATGAGTGTGCTTTAATATCAAATGTATGGGCTGTCCCAACTAAATGCCTAACAATTTTAGGTTATTTATCAATCATTTTTGAATAAAAACTTTGGATTCCATTGCAAGTTACGTATTTATTTACTCACCCTTGTGTACCGTCACGATTGCTTCTCATGAAGGTAGGGTCTGATACTATATCAAGTCCATATAGGTTAATCTAACCTCTGGACAGATTAATGTTTTCATTCTTCTCACGTCACATTTTTATCCTGTTACTAATTGACTTATTAACCTTGACTGTTTTTATGTAAGCGTATGTGTGCCCATTTTTTACCTTATCACATATCTGCAACGTATTTTTGTCTGACTATAAATATCGATTCACGATTGGATAAATCAAGTTGGCTCACACGCTTTCTCCGCTGCGCGTCTCTTAGTTTCGCTTCTCTCTCCTCTCCGCTTCCTTTATTCCGTTTCCATGATTGTTTATTCAGATCAACGATTGTACAAAGTATACGTAATCAAACTTCATCCTCGTATTTGACTTGGTTTGATAATTATATACGAGGATTGACGACATGTATATTTCAATAACAATCATTCATACGGCCTTAATGGAGTCAAATGATATAGGGTCACTAAATGCATGTAAAGTAATGAGCACACTCGTTTATATACCATTTTGGCTTTTGAGGGTGCATGGATTTTGACTTTTCGATAGTAATACACTGGATCGTGTAAAATAACTAATTAATTTATATTTTTGCCTTATTTCAACACACGGTTATCTTAATTACCCCTAAACAGTAGAACATTGGTCCCAAATTTATTAAGCTTCAATATAATCCTCTCTTCCTTTTGGTTTACAGATTGCTAGGAAAATCTCTTATACCTCAACGTTTGAGTTAAAATGTTTTTACTTTTTTATTATTATCATTAGTACAAGTACTTTTAATCCTATTAAACAAGCCATTATTCAAACCTCATTTTTGCTGGACAGGATAGTACCTAGGAAAACTGAAATAATCCTGCATTCACAAAAGCTTTCCATTAATAGAACATTTAAAGAAACCATTATCTCTTCTGTTAATGAGCACATTTCAGGAGAGGGGCAGATCATTGACAAATGAGTTCAATTTACAAAAGTACACTCCTTTTATACACAAAATAATTACATAGTTGTTATGTGTTATGGCTCAAAGAGACAGCCCGATTATATGACAGTGACTTATCGATCGGATCAAGGATTCAGAGACTCAATAGTCTATTCTGGTCCGTTGTCCCCAACTCTGCTAACTCGATCAAAAAGTCTGGGTAAGGTGTAGAAAGTGTATTCTACAGACAAGCAGCAGATAACAAGTCAGGCAGGCAGATCAGATCAAGCATACAAGTCAAGCGTATTTATACAATTATTTACAATCGATATTGTCATGGAAGATTTTTGAACATTAATCAACAATTGACTGCTATTTGAACATTTAATCGATAGTTCATCAATTGACCTATTTGTACATTTAATCGATAGTTCATCAATTGACCTATCTGCACATTTAATCGATAAGTAAATTACAAAATTTGAGTTTTGGGGATCTATCGTCCCCAACACTCCTCCCCTTTTTAGAAGATCCGGAGTTGATATCCGGATTTTAAGTTTTCCAGGTCCATCCTCCCCCACGAAACAGTGTTGGATCCTCATATGCCCACGTTATAATTAACTTGAATTTATTTAAGACATATTTATCGCACTGAACAGAGAATTGACTGAAAGTGACTAAGTCTTGAGGCTGAACAACACTTGATGTGAGGTGTTCGAAGTTTAATTCTTCTGAAATATTGTGACCAAATTTATTTGGAATCTTATTTGTAGATAATCGATCATCAAGGTAATTAGCATCTATCAAAATTGTATTAAGTTTTTGATCATCATTTGATGCATCTGACATATTTTCTGGTAAGAGAGAATCTTGATAATAAGATTTGTCAAAAACATCTGTCGCAGACTGATGAGAATCATTTGAAGCAGTTGTATTCAGTGTACTGCTCGATTTGTTTTCTGTTTCATGGGTGGTTATTGCGACAATTCTGTGAGCATTTACCAGGGAGTGTGTTTGTGAGCTGGATAAGTCACCGTCTGCACATGCTGTTTTGGGGATAATGGAGTTTGAGTCCATTACCGGGCATGTTTCTGGAATGGAGAGGACTGGACCACTGGGCGCATCATGGATGACTGCCGTTCCGTTTGAAGTACAGTTAATCGAGGATTCATTGGGGCTGCAATCATTTTCCAGCTCTGTGTGCAGTTGAGAGATCAATCCATCCACTTCCGTTGCATCTCCAAAGCATGAGTGATTTAACAGCTGCGTGCGTAATTTGACTAAAAACTCCAACTGTCTTTCAAATAGCAGCTGTACTCGATCGGAAGGGAGAGTCATTTTTTTTGTTCAGCACCGGTAATAAAAATTACTGTTTGATTAATGACCAATGTTGCTGAAGGACACTGATGACAATCTGGATGCTGAAGGCTGACTTTGGATTGTTCTTTTTTTTTTTACCCCGTCGCCAATTGTTATGGCTCAAAGTGACATCCGATTATATGGAGTGTGACTTATCGATCGGATCAAGGATTCAGAGACTCAATAGTCTATTCTGGTCCGTTGTCCCCAACTCTGCTAACTCGATCAAAAAGTCTGGGTAAGGTGTAGAAAGTGTATTCTACAGACAAGCAGCAGATAACAAGTCAGGCAGGCAGATCAGATCAAGCATACAAGTCAAGCGTATTTATACAATTATTTACAATCGATATTGTCATGGAAGATTTTTGAACATTAATCAACAATTGACTGCTATTTGAACATTTAATCGATAGTTCATCAATTGACCTATTTGTACATTTAATCGATAGTTCATCAATTGACCTATCTGCACATTTAATCGATAAGTAAATTACAAAATTTGAGTTTTGGGGATCTATCGTCCTCAATGGACCTGGAAAACTTAAAATCCGGATATCAACTCCGGATCTTCTAAAAAGGGGAGGAGTGTTGGGGACGATAGATCCCCAAAACTCAAATTTTGTAATTTACTTATCGATTAAATGTGCAGATAGGTCAATTGATGAACTATCGATTAAATGTACAAATAGGTCAATTGATGAACTATCGATTAAATGTTCAAATAGCAGTCAATTGTTGATTAATGTTCAAAAATCTTCCATGACAATATCGATTGTAAATAATTGTATAAATACGCTTGACTTGTATGCTTGATCTGATCTGCCTGCCTGACTTGTTATCTGCTGCTTGTCTGTAGAATACACTTTCTACACCTTACCCAGACTTTTTGATCGAGTTAGCAGAGTTGGGGACAACGGACCAGAATAGACTATTGAGTCTCTGAATCCTTGATCCGATCGATAAGTCACTGTCATATAATCGGGCTGTCTCTTTGAGCCATAACATTATGTTTGAAACTTCACGAGTTCACTTAAACCGCGAACGAGAACAATACTCAGTGACCAAAGACCAGTGATCTAACTATTGACGCGTCCCAGCACCGCTGTCTAGAAGAAGAAGTCCAGGCTTGGTATGGAAAATATATTCTGCAACAGCCAGAAGCGAGCGAGTGAGCAGGCAAGCAAGCAAGCGTATTTATACAAATATTTACAATCAATATTGTCATAGAAAATTTTTAAACACTAATCAATAGTTCATCAATTGACCTATTTGCACATCTAATTGATAGATTCATCAACTGACTGCTATTCAACCATTTAATCGATCAGTTCATCAATTGACCCCAATACAAATATTTAAACATTTAATCAATAAGTTGATCGATGCGATAAAATTTAAAAATATGAGTTTGAGGATCTATCGTCCCCTAACAATAGTTTGGTTTGTTTTTTGACAATCTGACTTCTACATATTAGAATTTTCAAATTTTGAAACACATAATTGAAACGGGGCACAAAATTGGCATAAATACTGCTTTTATAACGTTGTATAGAGATTGTCAAGGACAAATTCTATTGAAGCCTTGGCTATTCATAAATTTAAATCCCCCTTATGGCCTAGGTTACCGCGACTATTTCTTATTCTTTCTATACGATGTAAAATTGTTTCTCTTCCCTTTGTTACTTTTTTTACTTGAAATTTCATTTAATTGACCTTTATTAATTTTCATATAAAATGCCTTGACAAGTATATATGTGACTAGATTGTACGAAATATATAGCGCAAATACATCACATTTTTCAGATCATCTCCGTCTTCTCATTGTTTGATCGAAATTTCATTCTGACAAATATTTTCATTTATAATCATTCCTTAACATTAATTTCTCTGGTTATTCCATTCAGAATAATTTGATAGATGTATATATATATATATATATATATATATATATATATATATCCATTTCCTTAGAATTATAAAACGAATCATTTTATAATCTTGACTTAACACATTTGTGAAAAAGAAACATTTAAAAACTAATACTATAAGGACAATAATAAGGTCAAAACAACATTGATAGCTAAATATTAGATAAGTGATATTGTTGACTTTATATTTCATCTTGATAATTTGTTATTATTGTTCAAAATCATTTCAAGTGTTTTCTGTTTAAGAAGGAAGTGATGTTTTTCCTCTGTTTTCTTTTCTTTTCTTCTTTTTCTAATGAATTAATTCTGTTTTAAGTTATTCATCTGATATTATATTTTGATTTAATTATTGATGTTATTGATGTCAATATTATGAAGCTTAAGATCCTCTATTTTGTTGTTGTTGCTGTTGATGTTTATGCTCTCAACAATCTGTGAAAAACTATTGTATATAAATATCTACTACTTACTCAAGATACATGATTTCCTTAAATGTTTCGCTGATCAGAAATGCGCATAAATTCTCATACATAGCAGATCAAAGTTGTACCTAATTCTTATCACAATTTTGTATAGAATATGATAACTTTTGAATAAGGAATATATTGGTAGCACTATTTAAGTATATAAAATCAAGGATTCCGTGGCATTGTTAATGAAATGACGTAATTTATCCTTATGCAGCTGCGTTTACCATATGCCTAAATATACGTGTTTGAATATACATGTAGCAATCAGCGTAAATACTTGACATTTATTCAACACATATTGTTTTTGTAGTAGTCATATGTAGTGTTCTATCTAGATATTTTGGACCTATGGCATTTACGAATTACCAATGGACTAAAGTACCACGGAATACAATCCCTAACCCACTAAATGATGATGAAAATAAAAGTTAAAATCAAATTCATAACGCTAACATGTCAAATATCTTCATTACAATAAAGAATAAAAGGTTTCCGTTTTTTAAAATGATTTAAGAATTCTAATAAACCTTGATAATGAAAACTTCAGAAAATATTGTTAATAAATTGTAAATTATACATATGTACACTTTCTGAAATACTGATTATTACTCCGACTAAAATAAATTGATATTTAATTCACATTTCTGTAAACACAATAGACTAGATGGATAGTGATTGTACGCTGTACTCTCTCAAAAGATAAACTACTGGTTACCCATAACCAATGTACACATGAAGTCAATATTACGAATAGTGAAATAAGAAATAGTAGCGTTTAACGCACAGATGTTCCCAATTTTGAATTCAATTAACATGTGTTCTACATTTAAAAAGTACCTATGGTTGTAGCGTATATGAATAACATATCTCAGTATAGACTGTTACAATTTAGTTTAGAATGAAAACATCGTTTTCAACGAAACTTGTTCCGTACATTGAACATATCAAAAATTAAACTGAAAAGTAATGATCAGTATTGGTTTACAGTTAGTCACTTTCAAATGGTGTTTACGTTTAACATTTAAACCAAGAGATTACAGCAGTCAAAAAACCAGTTATCGTCCAAAGAGTGTACTGGACAGTTTTGTTATGACAGTTACAAATAAATGTAAGCTAACAAAATTCTCAATTGATCTCATGAAAAGAACAATTTAACGCAACCTTTATGTAAGCGTAATGTGTTTCTGTTCATGATATTTAGAAAAGTCTCAATAACGTAATATTTTTTAAGCAATACCAATTTACTTTATACATTATTTTACATTACGAACAATTCCTCAGATCGAAGCTACCAACTCCAATAAGGTCTTAATTTTACATAATACTGTTTACGCAGCACTAAAACAATGAACATCTTATTATAAAATGGGATTAAGTAAATTATCTACTTTCACAAAACAGCCGACACACTACTGCACAGATCATTTTCAAGATATCAGTTAAAATAAAAATACATCAATCCCAGAAACAAAAGATTATGATCAGAAGGGGTTTGTGGAGATTTTAGAAATTTCACAGATTGAAATCATGAGTCAGTTGAAGCTAGACCACCATGGAAAACCTGGAAGCACTAGACGGCCGTTTCGTCCTAGTATGGAACTCCTCAGCAGTGCGCATCCACGGTTGCGCAACTTCGTAGATTGGTTGAAGTTAGACATTACACTGTTGGATGCCGGCTCAGTGTTCTAGTGGTTAAGTGCTCGCGCGCGAAACCTGTAGGCCCTGGGTTCGGATCCCGCGGGGTACGGAATGATTTCAGTAGCCGATATTATGAATAAACAGTCATTTATTGCTTTTAAGTAATCCTCATTTACATTAAATTAAGATGGATTTAATATTTGTGTGTTCATTTGACTTGCGATTTATTCATTTGGTGTTTTTTCTTGGTTTTTATAGACTAATTGTCTTTGTTATAAACATGGAGGAAATGTTTTGCAAAGAAATTACCATAAAGAATACATAAAAAGCAAAAAAATAGTTGATCGAATAATAATTGTTATCGACCATCCCAGCAGTTCCAGGTTTTCCATGGTGGTCTAGTTTCAACTGACTCATGATCTCACCAACTGAAATGATCGATGATCTCATAGAGAGGTCGATTTTCTAATTTCGCAAGAAAAAAAATGAACATTGATGTATACTTAAATAATTATAATCTGAGTTTAAGTGCATAAAACTGTTCAATACATACAATATAACAAACAAATTAAACAATAATAATTACAATCCTTCATATGAACTAAAACAGTCATTATTTAATTGATCTATATTTCTAATGTGATTATTATTATTATTACCATCAGGATTATGCAATTCCGTTTAACTAATTTTATAAGTAATAGACCTTATGTTTACAAAATAAACCTAAAAACAAACAAACAAATAAACCGCATATTAAAGAAAGATTATTTTCATATTTCGTTTGATAATTTGTTATTATTATTTTAGGATAAAAATTCCATACAAAAATAAAAAAATTAAAAAAAATAAATCGGTCATAATTATCGATGGATCTGTTTATATGATCAAATTTCGATTAGAATAGTAACTATTTAAT